GAGGGCAGAGGGGAGGGCAGGGGGGAGGGCAAAGGGGAGAGCCTGAAAGGCAGGCAGCTCCGAAGCCTCTCCGGGCCTGGGCGCTACTCGACTGACAACGAGGCTGGGGTTGAAAAACCACGGCACTCATTCATATTTCACATTTCACTTTGTAGAAAGGTAATAGTGATAGGTAGCATTTACTGAGTAATAAGGCACAGAATTAAGCCGCTTGCCCACAGTCAAAGAGCTGGTCAGTGCAACACCCAGACTCTAACCCAGTCTGGTCAACCTCCAGCGCCAGAGTTCTTCACTGTGGTCAGAAACCTGGGCAAGGTCACCTAAGTAACTCTGGATCAACACCCAAGGGAACAAGCACGTGAGCCAAAACCGAAGGTGCCCCGAGGAAAGAAGTGGCTGTGCGTAGACAGACGGTGAGAAAGTGACAGGAAGTGAGCGGCACGGAAGGGTAAGGGAGAACAAGAAAAGAAGTTGGACTACAAAGTTTTCAGATTTTAAACTTAATATTTAAAATTAAATTTACTCTCAAATACCATCATAAATGTAAAAGTAAAATGATTAAGGAAAAACCCCCCAGAAATCATATATGTTACTAGACGTCCAAGTTTTGCTTACTAAAGAAAACACCATACTTGCCAGAAAACACACATAACTATGTATGCAATTCTAACTCTTGTCATTAGTTTAGTAATTTATTTTTAAATAATTTAACTCTATTGCAGAATTACTGACTTGGGTATATTTGATTTACTCAAATTCAAGCCAAGTTTTATATATATATATATATATACACACACACATATATATAAATCGACAGAGAATTTTTCCCCCATTATCAAAATCAGAATTTATACTAAAATAATAGTAGCACAACATTTTTCTTTAACTTCTGTAAACATGTCACCCACAGACATCTGGAGCCCTAACAAATACAGGAATATAAAATGTCACCAGATGCAACCCTGGGAGGCGGCTGGGGATGCTCTCCATACGGGAAGCACAGTCAGCTGCACTGCAAGCAGGTCCAGGCATTCACAGCATCAGTGATGCTTCCCTAGTTTTTGAAGGGTTAACTATTTTTAAAATAGTATTTAGCTGAAAAAAGGAAACACATCTTGTCCTAAAATATCTTTCAAAGAATTATTTCATTTCTATTGCTTTGTTATAAAATTTCCTGCAGAAGACCTTTCCTATGAATTACTCACAAAGCAAAAGGTGTGACTCCAGGAGAGGACTTTTTTGTTCTACTTAGATACACACAAATTATATTTCAAAGAAAAGTGAGTAAAATGCACAGTTAGAAAGAGCTTCTCATTCAGTAGATATTAACACATATTATGACGATGCAAAATGTGTTATTCAAATCATAACTACTGAGAATTCAAACTAACTTTTTGTTATGATTTAACTTACACACATGATGACTGCATAAATAACAATTTTAGGACTATAACAGGAATATAATTAATTTAGGAATATAATCAAGCAGTCTAAAAACTAAAATATGGTTTTCAATATGCTTCTTCTGAAATGGAAATAACAAATAAAACTGGTTTAACAATAAAACACTGTCAAATTACATACCATAAAAACATTAATATAGATTCCTGTATTTTAAAAAAGAACCATCAACATAAAAATAGAGTGCAAACTATAAAATAGATAGATTGAGGAGAAATTAAAAGACCCACAATTAACTGTTAAATTATGGGCAGATTATATACACAACAATGGAAATTTAAGAGACACACAAAACTCTGATTAACCAAGAAAAAATAGTTTTTTAAATTCTTCTACACGAGCATATGCTGCTACACAAACACAGAGAATTCATATCCCGAATCACCCACGTTGTGAAACTCTGTTCCACAAACAAGCTACTCAGAACCACACGTGCTCTCTCACTGAAAGGAGGAGGTGAGTTCAGCCAAGCAGTCGGTCCTCCAGCTAGCCTACCTTATTTTTTGGATTGGATGTGTTCATTACACTTCGAGTCTCTTTTCCAGTATAAATGACAACACCTATTACGGTACCTGCAAAACACAAAAGTGGTCCTTACAGAGAAACTTGAAGGATATGCACAGAAGTAACACTTGCTAATTAATCGTTTTGATAGAAAATATTATGACACCATTTGATTTTATATAGATTTATCCAACAGCATATTTAATTTCAGTAGTTCAAGAAAATCTAATCTCAACTTTAAAAATAAACTTTGAAAAACTCAAATAATTTACCTACACAAAACATTAGAAAATGTACTAATATTCTTTTCACTGGCAATAGAAAGCATGACACTGTTCATTCATTAATGCCTATTAAAATGGTAACTCTAACACTGAAGCTACATTGAGAGCTTACATTCTAACTGGTCAATGCATGTGATCCCAAACAAGATGGTACCAGTGTGTGTGTGGGGAGGCGCGCAGTTTCTCTGAACAGGAGTCTGAGAGCATCCTTTCACTGTAAAGATGCAGGACAACCAGGTACAAGAGCCTTTGCTCACATTTCAGAACACAGACAATGAAAACGGTAAGAGAAGTATTATAAAGACAATATTTGATTTTGAATTTATGTGTTATGTCTCTTTTATTCCTGTCTCCTGAAAGTTTGGTTTTCTAATTGTACATGTTAAGAAGAAATGATAATTTTTCGGTCTATCAAACTTAAGATAAAAGAACAGTAAAACACCCCTAGAACGACCTATACATTACAAAGGCTCAGATCAGAGGCATTCATCTCTGGAATGTCACATTAAAAACCATGGAAGTCCGCCTCTAGAACTGCTGCTATGCAAAATTAATATTTCTAATTTTCACAAAATTTGAAGGTGAGAAACACAATTAAGGTGAGAAAGATGATATATCCATAATACTCACTGAAATCAACAACCACTGCAGAATTAACCCTAATAATTATACAAAAACTCTTTGATGTCACATTAATGTAACGTATGGAATTTAGTGAGTCCCAAGGCAGGACCCGTGGAGTAAATGTGACCGAGGTGATCTCGGGTCTACATAACAATGACAGCTGTGCACCACACATCTCAGCACACCACCAAAAGCCTCCTCCACGGAACGCCCAGGAAGACAGAAGATGCCAGGGTACGTACTGCTCAGCAGTGACACCTGCAGAGGTTACGTGTTTACTCTTTTTTAGAATAAGCATTTCTTTTTTCCCCCTTTTTAGTTGTGTGCCCTGGGAAGCTGTGAGGCTTGCACTTACTGTGCTCTTCAAAGCAGAGTGGCCCCACGTGACTATGGACCCCCACTCCACCAACGGAGGACACAGAGAGCGACTGGTGACACCTGTACTGAGCTGGGCTGCAAATGGCGCATCAGGAGCATCAAGGAGCAAGACCACAGAAGTGAGGAACCGAGGTTCCTCGCCCACTTCCCAGCCCACAACAACTGCCCCGTGAGACCGAAGCTTGAGAAGCAGCGATATGCACCTGTTTTGAATCGCGTGCTGCAGGCTGGTGTGTGCTCCAGCCCCCGCACTGGTCCTGCCTCTCAGCCTCCATGCTGCTTTTGTGTCCCTGCACCAGAGCTCTCTGGGTCCAGCCCCTTGAGTGACGCCCGAGTGGGACGGGTTCCCCTGCTGGCCGATCCCAGATATTAAGTTTTCTCTAAAGCAGAAGCCTTGCAAACTATGTGTGGTACAGGTTTTACTTTTAAATTTCTAATCGGTCACAAGGCCTAGTTTTGCAAAATATCACATCAATAAATTATCAAGGGAAACAAATAACAAAAAAATTTGACAACACATATGTCCCAATCTTCTTAACATTAAATTCCTTCATCAAATTCTTATAAATTTTCCAAAAGTTTACTCTCATTTTCTGTATTTTTCACCATCAGTATCAGCCCTGGACCCCTGACTCTTGAGCACAGAACCTGCAGTCCTGCTCTGGGGCTCAGCCTGGACCCCCATCTGGGCACATACGTCCCGCAGACTCTAGAGGACTCATCCTTCCTTCCAGGCCCTCGGCAACTTAAGATCGGAATGCTCCCATATCCACCTATTACTGAAACATGGCAAGTTTCCTGGTTCTCTGAACCAACAAGGGGAAGAAGCATGGCACCCTGGGAAGTCATGTTTGTCCCTCTCTGGTGCCCTCGGTCCTTGTGTCTGTCTATCTGTCTGTGTCAACTTGAGACCTTGCTCCCATGCATTTGGTTTCTACAGCCAGGGAGGAAGGCCAGAGCTCACTTCACCAGGAGGCAACTTGAATTCAATCGACACATAACTTTTTCTTTTAATCTGTATTGGGGTAGAGTTGATTTACAATGTTGTGTTAGTTTCAGGTGTGCAGCAAAGTGAACCAGTTATACATCTACATATCCCCACTCTTTTTTAGATTCTTTTCCCATATAAGTCTTTACAGAGCACTGAGTAGAGTTCTCTGTGCTATACAGTAGGTCCTTATTAGTTATCTATTTTAAATATAGTAGTGACATAACTTTTAAAGAATAAAATTTTTTAAAATCCTGGTCTTTCCTTCTCAACTTGTAATCAAGTGTAAAGAAGATAAGAGCCCTTGTATTACTCCTGGAAATCCAAAGTATTTCAAACATATCTCAGTATACAGAAGTCTCGTTATATATAGGGTCTAGCAATCGCTCACATTAATAGGCTTTTAAATAGAGTTAAGCATGTGTTAAAAGATTTGAAATACATGAAAAAAGCTTGCATTTTAAAAATGACTGAACAAAATTTAAAATTAAACGCACTTTATTTAAACTTGTGGAACGATTGTTTTAAACAACCTAAATACTCTCTCAGAAGATACAATACTCTGGCCACTGAATTCTATCTCTGGAAGAATAAAAAAGGGTTACCTATGCGGCAAACGTGTTATGATGCCTACATTTGTGTCTGTGTTGCCGAAGTTCACAACTAGGAGCTACCACTTGCCAAGGTCATCCTGAGAATGAAGGTCAGGAGAGAAACACTGTGCACAGTGAATCATCTAGGATACCTCAAGCCTCCAGCTTGGGTTGCTTCTGGCTCTTTGAGAGGAGAGGCCAAAAATCAATAGTACTGGGGATCAGTAACAACGTTCTAACATACAGGAAACAAAAGATGAAATAAATTTAAAAAGAAAAAGGGAATCTTCAAATATCTTTATGAATGAACTCAATCTTGATCCTTTATTAAAAAGAATAAATATCAACATGATAAAAAAAAATAGGCTACAACACCTAGATACACCTAGATACAGAAAATGCAAAATCTGTGACCAGGTATGTAAATGTGGTATGTTGTAAGTATTTTCTTATAAACTATTACATGCTAAGTGCTGAAGGGCAAAGGCCATGGAGGACAGCACCCCTGGAATCAAATCCTGGGTACATGACCCTGCTAACAATGGTGGGCCTTCTGAGCCACAGCCCTCACCTGGGCCTCAAGAAGGACTGGCCTGTGCCCTCTGATGTCTCTCACGGTGTGCTACACCTACTTCCGCTCTCTTTTTATTGTGAGAAATTTTAAAAATTAATCATGACAAAAAACCAACATCTACTACCTGAAGGGAATCTCCACCTATTAAAATTATGTTTGCTATCATGCTTTTTTAATGATGTAAAACACTAGTGCAAAACTTCGTCTCTGAAGAAGAACCACCATCCTGCAGCCTGTGGAAGGAAAACCACGTTCACAGAAAGACAGACAAAAGGAAAAGGCAGAGGATGTTGTACCAGATGAAGGAACAAGGTAAAACTCCAGAAAAACAACTAAATGAAGTGGAGATGGGCAACCTTCCAGAAAAAGAATGCAGAATAACAACAGTGAAGATGATCCAGGACCTCGGAAAAAGAATGGAGGCAAAGACAGAGAAGATGCAAGAAATGTTTAACAAAGACCTAGAAGAATTAAAGGACAAACAAACAGAGATGAACAGTACAGTACCTGAAATGAAAAATACACCAGAAGGAACCAACAGCAGAATAACTGAGGCACAAGAACAGATGAGTGACCTGGAAGACAAAATGGTAGAATTCACTTCCACAGAACAGAATAAAGAAAAAAGAATGAAAAGAAATGAAGACAGCCTAACAGACCTCTGGGACAACATTAAATGCAACAACATTCGCATTATAGGGTCCCAGAAGAAGAAGAGAGAGAGAAATAACCCTAGAAAATATGTGAAGAGATTATAGTCGAAAATTTCCCTAACATGGGAAAGGAACTAGCCACCCAAGTCTGGGAGGCACAGGGAGTCCCCGGGAGGATAAACCCAAGGACAAACACGCCGAGACACATAATAATCAAGCTGACAAAAATTAAAGACAAAGAAAAATTATTGAAAAATGACAAATAACATACAAGGGAACTTCCATAACGTTAACAACTGATTTCTAGCAGAAGCTCTACAAGCCAGAAGGGAGTGGCACAATATATTTAAAGTGATGAAAGGGAAGAACCTGCAACCAAGATTACTCTACCCGGCAAGGATCTCATTCAGATTCGATGGAGAAATCAAAAGCTTTACAGACAACCAAAAGCTAAGAGAATTCAGCACCACCAAACCAGCTCTACAACAAATGCTAAAGGAACTTCTCAAAGTGGGAAACACAAGAGAAGAAAAGGACCTACAAAAACAAACCCATAACAATTAAGAAAATGGTAATAGGAACATACATATCGATAATTACCTTAAACGTGAATGGATTAAATGCTCCAACCAAAAGACACAGGCTCGCTGAATGGATACAAAAGCAAGACCCATCTATATGCTGTCTGCAAGAGACCCGCTTCAGACCTAGGAACACATACAGACTGAAAGTGAGGGGATGGAAAAAGATATTCCATGCAAATGGAAATCAAAAGAAAGCTGGAATAGCAATACTCATATCAGATCAAATAGACTTTAAAATAAAGAATGTTACAAGAGACAAGGAAGGACACTACATAATGATCAAGGGATCAATCCAAGAAGAAGATATAACAATCATAAATATATATGCACCCAACATAGGAGCACCTCAATACATAAGGCAACTGCTAACAGCTATAAAAGAGGAAATTG